TGCTGAACTAGCTGCAGAATCTTCACTCATAGGTGTAAGGTAGGGCACAAATAACCAATGTATCAGACCTAGGGATCAAGGGGATCCTGCCAAACTAGGAGACATCTGTACACTCCCAAACCAGATCTGGCTGAGCATGTCCCAGACTACTGTCTGGCTTTGCTGAGATTGTTTCTAGTGTAGTTGGCAACTAGAATGACTGATACTTTACAGAGACCCTAGCCCTAAATCCTAGAGACTCAGCAGCCTTTAATAGCAGATACATCTTGAAGCACATAGGCTCAATCTTGTGATTTGTGATCTTACACTGGGGTCTCCTGTCCAGCACACTCTTCTGAGAGCTGGAACTCATAATCCAAGATTTATCCCAAGACTCCATTCCCAGCTCCTTAGACTCCCACCAGTGCTTAAACATGCACTTCTCAGAATTGCACCAGTGATGTCAGCCTTCTGGTTCACACTCTGACTGTTTGGGAGGCACCTGACTGCTGTAAGCAAACACTTACAAATACAGAAAAGCTTTGCACAACATTTTTGATCATGTTATGGAAAATCACCTTTACTGGAAGTTTTCAGGTACTGCTCCAACCTCTGGATCTGCCTCTGGTTAGATATAGCATATCCAACATTTGTACATGGGTTTGGATGAGAAAAACCTTGAGGTCTCTACCAGCTCTGTGAGTCTCTGATGACCATTCTACTAAAGGACAAAGTGCAAGAGTCAATAGAACTGCAGAAAAACAATAAACTCCCTTAACACAAGCCTTCTTTCTACCTCACCAGTTCTTGGAAGCCCAGGGGTGTCTGTTTACATTTCACAAGGTAGACATGCAGCTCAGGATTAGTGTTCTTTGACAATTTGTTTCTTCCTGTAACTAAACCCAGGTCCTCCCCTGCTTTACAAGCATGCTCAACTGCAGTTCCTCCAGCCAGAAAATCCCTCTGCACCTCTCTGAGTCTTTCCTTTTCAGATATTTTAACTATCCATTGTCACCTCTGTCCCTTTGTCTTGTTGCTGGTAAGTTTCCATTCACTTCCTTGCCCTCTTTCCTAGGACAGGAGGAAGAATGACCTTTCTCCAGCTGAGATGAGCCAGTTGCCTCAAGGTGATTTTAGATTCTGAGTTCTGTACTCACCCTTGTCCCTGGTTTTGCTGGGATGTGAACAGGGTGAATATGGAGAGACCGAGTCTGTTAGCAAGCCGGCAGTTCTCATAGGATATGTTAACCTGGCATGATGTAGTGCCTTGTATAGACAACCAAGGTATCTGAGATACTGAAAGCAGTACAGTCATGGTAGTATGGCACTCCACTGGACTAATTTACCCTGCTTCCCAGTGGGCACATCTACGTGAGACATTTACTTCAGAGCTGACTAATTAGCTCTGCAGTAAAATGTCACCATCTACATGGGCGGTGCTATTAGGATGGAGTAAACTAATTAACTCCATCATATGATAGTAGTGTTTGACACAAGTAGTATCCTACAGTGGAGTTTACTCCACCACAGTGCATGTGTAGATGCTGATAGGGCTGGCTGGGGCACAAGGGTGCTTCAGTGTGAGGGGCTGCCTGACGGCTACCTTCATGCACCAGCCAGCCCCTCCACAGCACGTTGAGCTGGGTCAAAGCATCCCTGGGCTGGCAGGCTGACCCCCAAGACTCCTTGCTAGCCAGGGCTGCTCTGCCCTAGCTCAACATGCTGCAGTCCTGGCCACACATGCAAACATAGTGCCCGAAAGCAATAAACTCTGACAAACTGCACTGGAGTTTATTCAGCTGCATTAATTGCACTTGTAGGTGTGCCCATTATGGGGCTAGATAAACCACATGGAGCACCATGCTACATGGTCAAGCTGGCTTGTTCAGTGCTAGTGCTGATATCTCTACCCATGTAGAGAATATGCTGGAATGTGCTGTGCATGCATGCTGAAGTGACATTTTTATAATAACAACCAGAATTCATAAACTGTACAGACAGATTCTGCTGATCATCCCAGAAACCCTGATCATGCTGGAGTATAGGAAAAGAGAATCCAGACCTTTGTGTTTTATACTTGAATGATTCTGTGTAGCTTCCAAAATTAGAAGACTTCAAGACGCACTACAGCTTTCCAGTGTTACATTACCTACTGGCTTAATAACAATTCTAATCTTAAAACTTAAGCCATGCCATATGCCAGACACCAAAAGAACTCGAAGTTCGTTATATACCTCAAGCCTCTTAATTTACCAAAAACATAAACAAAATGTGACTACATATTTTATTCTTAAAATAATCAAGTCAATTTTGCAATAACCACACAGTTAAACAGTTGCATAAAAAGACAAGTTTCTTATGCATATTTCTAATGTTATAAAATAAATTACTGGGCTGAAGCTGAGGTGGTACCATGATGCTTGCTTTTTGTTTCTTTGATATGTTCACTGAGGGTAATAGCATTGTTGAACTGAAGTTCAGTGAATTAAGGTCCTAGCATGCAGTGTGTTAGCATATCATAGTAGTGATAGAACTAGTACACTGACATTGTGTCAAATGTGGCTGCTGTTTCAATGCAGTTTTTCCTTGCTTGTTGCTATTTGTGTTGTGAGGAAATGCACTTGAGTGACTTCATCTTGTAGTTTGTGCTGGAATGTATTTATAGCATGAAGAAAGGTCCTGTTATGTCTTATCAAATCCAATCAGCTAGTCACACCTCTTAATGAAATTGCAGTAACTCGAATTGGGTAAGAATAACATAAACAGCCCAGTATTTTCTATAAGCTACATTCAGTCCCATTTTGCTCCAGTAGCAGCTCTTTCCAAGAGAAAAGATGCTGTCACAGAGTATGTGCTACACCTTGAAAGATATAATAGCTACAGTCCCCCCTACTTCTGAATGCTCCATCTACCACAAAATCAATCTGAATTCCCAGGTCTGAACAACCCCACACTTGAGTAAACATGGTTTCAGATCTGAAATTTGTGACTTAAGACATCAAGTAAAGGCTATCTGCCAGGGATTATTTCTCTAACCAATTAAATATAATTGTCTCTGAAGCAAAATACGTAAAATTGTTGAACTGTAAGTGAGGAAGAATACTCTATCCATCTAAGAGTGCTGGGAGAATTTTAGGAAGGTAAAAGGTAAGTACTCATTTGGCAGGGACATCCCTAATACTTCTAACTCAGTGGAAACTCAGGCCATGGTTATACGTCATTGCTCCTGACCCCAGATTCAGCACCAACAAAATAAGTCCTGCCCGCTTGCTCTCAACTTTAGGCTCATCAGACACTACAATTACTCAGCGCAGATGGCTCAGGTACAGCCCTATGTGGCTTGAAGTGGAGATGAATGTCCCACACATTCCCAGCACCACTCTCAGGCTCTCCCAAGACAGCTGGCCTGAGCATGTCTCTGGGACAGGTACACAGGCCTGCTCCAAGTTACCTACCTACTCTGCCTAGCTGCTGGATGCTGATGTGCCTGTGGTGGTGGAATGGGGAAGGTCTATTTTGTCAGGAAGACCTGGTCCAGGAGGGAGACTATTAGGCCTGTGAAATATGGCAAGTATTCAATTCGGATTTGTCCGATTTAAGGGGACTGATTTGATTCAGTGATTTGAATCCCTGTCCCGATTCAATTCGGACCCAGAGATTCAGCCATAGACTAAACAGGCAGCAGTCCTTGAGGAGGCTGGACACAGCTGTCTCCAGCTTCCACCACTCTACGCTGCCAGTCCGGGAGGGCATGGGAGCAGGCGTGTGCCCCCAGATCCACGCAGGGTGGGCTGGGCCAGGCTATGCTCTGGACGAGTGGTGGAAGGCACTGAGAGTGGGGGCTCTGCCCTCCCACCGCTTGTCCAGCCAGGGTGGCGGGGGGCACGGGATACAGGCACAGCAGCTCTGGGAGCAGGGTCTATGGCCTGCTGCCGCTTGCCCAGCCGGGGCAGGGCTGTTAGACCAATCATCTTTTATCTGATACTACAGTTCATCAAACTAGCCACCCAGAGTGCAGCCCTGGCTCCACCTGCCCCACGGAGTGCAGCCCAGCTCAGGCCACCCTACGTAGGTCCAGGCGCACACACCCGTTCCCATGCCATCCCAGACTGGCGGCACGCAGGAGAGTGCAGTGGTGGGAGCCCCCCTGCCTGAGTCCTGTGCCCCCCCACCCTGGCTGGGCAGCTTGTCCCAGCCCCAGCCCCAATCCCTCCCTCACTGTGGGGACATTGATCTGCCCACCCCCATGCCCCTTCCCTTCCCGCTTCGACCACCACAACAGATCTACCAGCTGGAGGCAGCTGTGTCCAGCATCCTTGAGGACTGCTGCATGTTTAGTCTATGGCCAAATCTCCGTATCAACGCCAAATCTCTCTAAATCAATTTAGAGATTTCTGATTTGATTAGGAGCTTTTACGATTCAATTTGGATTCGGAGTTTCAGCCGCCGAATCGGGCCAAATCTCCTCTGAACTGAATTGGCTGCCAAAGCTTTGCACAGCCCTAGAGACTATAGATATGCAAGAAGTTTCATGCCTTTAAACCACCACAAGTGGTCTGGCCCTCATATCTCATCTGAAAGATTGCTATCACATCTGAAAGATGGTTACAACACAGTGGGCACATCTACACACAACATTTACTGTGGAGCAGACTAATTAGCCCCGCAGTAAACATTTCTGTGTCTATACGT